AAGAATTATTTTATGCACAAATACATAAAAAAGAAAGTATTTGTCATAATGATCATGATGATTATACAAGAAAAAGCCACTACAGCTACAATGAAATATATATATATACATGTATATATAGTTATAAAAGAAAAAAAAAAAAAAAAAAACACGCACACATGCACACGGAGAGAGGACAAAAAAGAATGCCAAAACAAAGATCGCAAATAAATAGAACACATACAAAGGAAAGACAAAACAGAAACATTTGAACTGATTAAATTTAAAAAAAAAGAATTTCAAAGAAAACAAAAACAGGACAAGAGACAAATAAAGCGGAAGTGAAGCACACATAGGACACACAAAACAGAAGAAAACTTGAATGATACATGAATATTTGCAGGATGAAATGAAAAAAAAATGTGATGTAATAAGCATAAAATGAGTATAGTTGCCTGTCAGGTCTTTACAGAATATGCTATCTCCAAGACAATGGAATCATACTTTACATTTATTACTTGTCTTACCTTTGTTCAATTTTCTGATACCCCTCTTATAATATATTAAATATGTAAAAGTTATTAAAAGTACATTCATATATATTTTTAAAAAAAGAATAAAATCATATCTTTGCAAATAAAACAAACAGCTTGATTCAAATTCCATGTTAAGAAGAATAAAATCAGAAAGAGAAATGAGTGACCAACTTCGCAAACACAGACTTTGTTCTGGTCACCCTTACCACTCCTTCAGAGTTAGGTTCACTCAAAATATTCTCAATTCCCTCTGGTCCTCCTCTTTCATGTGCCATCTTCAAATGTTGGTACGTCAAACCAGACTGGGCTATTTTTCTTAACATGTAATTTGAAACAATTTTTGTTAAAGGTTGCAAAGATACCAAGCATTCATTTGTCTTTGATTTGTACTCTACTGAAGATATTAAAAACTGTACACTGAAACTATGCTTCAATAAAATGCCATATCTTATATTCAAATTTACAACCAATGATTACAATGCCTGTACATCTGCAAGAGCTAAGTGAGCCTTATAGGACATGGACATACAATCTTTAACTAAAGTTTCCAGCTTGTAACACTTCCTACCTGGCAAAACTTCTTTTACAACATACAAACTGTCAACAAACCCCTCTATGGGTAATGAAGAGGAACAAGATAAACAAGCTTTCATCAAAATTACTGAATCAAATGCACGTCCATTGTGACAAACAAGTAAGGGTTTGTTAAACTATTTTGGCCACTGATCAAACTCTGATAGACATCTCTCAAGAGCTACACTTTCAACTTTTTCTTTGTGATGAAACATCTCCCCATTGACAATATGTAATCCAGTTACAGCTGTCGCACCTGGTGTTGTTGGTGATTTAGGAATAACATACCTGTTAAAACTTTCTTCTTCAGTCACACATGCCAACTGAGTGATGTCACAAGAAGTACCCTTAGGAAATATTAAAGTATTCTTAGTTTACCAATATTTATGATGTAAATATATATTTTAAGCCTTTTAGAAATATCTTGACAAATTGCTCTGGTACATTGCTTATGTATTTTTGATTAATGCTAAGATAAGTATTATCTACCCAAGCCATTTGTCTCGAGGTCAAAGTAAAGGAAAGCATTCTTTCCATTTTCCACAGTTTTGAGTGTTGGTGGCACTGTTGCATCTGGTATTTCCTGTGTGGCCTCTGAGGATGTTGTACGGTTTAGGTCTACAGCAGGTTGATATGTCATTCCTTCCTTTAGCTCAGCTGTTGATTCCTTCAATTTTTAATACATACATGTAACAATTTGGACACGAGTGTCCTATTCATTTAAACTATGAATACAATTTCTGTTATATTAAAAACATAGGTACCTAACACATTGTTGACATTAATACACAGATTATATGAGCAATTTTTTAACATTTACCTGTTTAGCAATTGATGACTTCAGTTCATAGCGTCGTTTTTTGCATGCTGTGCTGGCCTTTCTATTCTTGTTGTACTGCCTTTTCTTTGATGTCCGAGTAAGAAAAAATTCTATATTCTTTCCTGGTGACAGTAATAAATTATCATAAACCTACAATTATAGTTAAATTTATAATATAAAGGAAATCATATAATTCTGTGAACAAAAATTAAAATATATCAACATAAATACAAAATAAAAATAAAGACTATCTCGTAATATAGATTAAAATTTTAAGAATACACAAACTTTGGAAATAGCATCATTGCCAATATTTTTCTGTGCAACAGCTGCTGCAACCCTGAAGGCAGTGGACTCTCAACCACCATAAAAGCGGTTCTTTGGGTTTTTGGAGAAAACAATGTTGTTGAAACTCTCAACAAGTTCTCTGCAAGAATGACACCCTTTACCCAGCTCTTGGATCAAAAAAAATAATGTCTATGATGTGCCGCCCTTGCAAGGGAAAGACATTTCCACCTAAATGGTGTATATAAATATATTTAATATGAAGGCATGTTATTTAAACTTGTTTACATAACAGTTTACCAATGCAGAGAGAGGGAGAAAGACAGAGAGATCCAGGTTTCAGATTCATATATTTATTCAATGCTTACCATTTCTCTCAGGTTCTTCTTCGTCACTCTCTGATGAACTACATGTATATTCATCTGTGTCCTCCTCCTCCTCCTCATACTAAGGAACATCTGTGTATGGGCCTTATAAAGTATTGACATTGTATAAATTTTTCATTTGAAAAAAAAAATGAAGTTACTGTATTTTATTAAATATATGTACACATTTTATTTGAAATGCTTTTATATAAATTTATCATTCCTTGGAATATAAACACTTACATGAATCAACAATAGATATATAAGAATGATTATGAAAAACATGGTCCTCTGTAGACAATGTGGTAGAGTCCTCTGGTTCCTCTCCTCTTGAAAATCTTCCATTGATTTTGCAACCTATCAATTTTTAACAGTTGAAATCAAGTTACATTAAAATAAATCAAATTTCATCCTTCAACCGCAATGTAAATAAACTTCTTATAGTAATGAAATATTAGCTAAAACAAATCTCCAATTTATTTGTTTATTAAATTGTATGATACCTTTATCTAACACACGGTAAACAAGCTCTAGTGTGAACTATTAAAAATATTTTCAGGCTATACTTCTGAATTCAAAGTATTAATTAAGCAAAACATACTCACCGTACTCATCAAAGGTGTATGTATGGTCGTGAGCCGTCGATGACATTTTCCAATCAAGTTTCAAAGCAAAGAACCCCGGTTTCGTTATAAAATCATGTTCTTCGCGCAAAAACAGCTGATAATTAATGTCCGTAAAATGCTTAAGTAAAGGGCAAAGAACATAGTCTTTTCAAAACGTTTTGGTGATTTAAATATTAACACAGAAGAGTTCCAATTAGCGGTGTATAGTGAATTTGTTCACACCATTATCAGTATATTTCGGATCAAAATGGCGTTTCGGACGAAAGTCAGCCATGTTGTGACGTCGTAGGGGTCCCCCTTAATGTTATAAATAAGAGGAATGGGAGGGTGGGATTTTTAAGCTAAGAGACAAACTACACCCACCTCTCAATCCAACTGTAACAAATATTGTGACGTCAAAAATTAACAGCAATAACGTCATGTATAGCATTTCGCGCACAAATCTAAGGCGCGGATGTGAGAGATTGTAGTAACCATCGCTATAATAATTGGATTTATTTCGTAAAGGAAGTAAATCTTATTATTAAAGACGATTAAGACAAATATAACTTCTTAACATCATTTATTCTTGATTCGGCGATCGTGGCCACGACCTACATAATACAATATATACTTCATTAATCGTTATAACATAACTCCTTATAAACCTTAAATTCCTTATAAACCTTTTATCCTTATCCTTATAAACTTTATATCATTATCCTTATAAACATTGTATCCTTATCCTTATAAAGTCCTGAAGATATGAATACTGACAACATTCAAGCTGGTACTGGGCTAGCAGATACTCAGCAGAAGCTGTGAAAAAATACTTGTATTATGGAAGGTGTCTCGAAAAACCGCCAAATAGTTGTCCGTTGAAAATGAAAACCACCGCCAACGAAGTTAGGTGGAATGAGAGACGCAAAAGTATGTGTAGGCGTGGCCACATCTTGAAGCTCAAACTACATATTTAACCTTTTATAGAAAAACATATTCTTGTATGGCCCTTTGTAAGTTGTAAGCAAGAAACAATCACCGAAATACGACAGGTGAACTCCATCACTACTAAATATTTCATTTGAATCCCAAGTAATCTCTAGGTATTTGATAAAGTATCCACTGTTGACGGTAACTAAGTGATTCATAAAATTATTGAGTCGAACAGTAGCAAGATTTTGAGTTTGAATTCAAACGCCATGAATTTCTTTGCAAAATATTGGACCAACCAATTGTTGTGTTGGGGAGTAGCTCCTAAGTTTTTTTGAGTGTTGAACACATAATTGACCGTAGTTGCAACAATGGAATTTTACCTATATCATTTCCTCCACAATGAATAATTAAAATTTCTGGAGGTAATTCATAACGTAACAAAAGATTTATGTTTGGAATAAGGTCAAACCCTTTCATACCTCCCTTTCCCTGCCAAAACATTCTGTAATTTCTTCGTTTTAAACCTAAATCCACACCATCAAAGGATTTTCTTGCGTAGCAGATCTAGAATGCCCATTTAATAATTTAAGAACCAACAATACAAATAACCTTTTCATCTATTTAAAATATGAAAAATCAATCAAGGACATCACTAAATCGTAATATACCTTTTGAAGGCATCTGAACCTCATCTACCTTGCTTTTTTTATTTCTGTTTCTGAGTGACCGTAAGAGAAACTATCTGACGCGGCACCAATACGGAAAGAGTTTATTTAATATTGAAGAGAATTAAAACCTTGTTAGAGGACTACCATCCATATGCTTAAATAACTGACCGTCAAATTTTGGCTCCATGCTGATGTACCTTTTTAACCATTCAACTGGACAGATAGAATTCCAGACTTGTCGAAATTTTTCAACTACTACCAGACATTTGGTCTGACACAGTTAAAGGTTCTGTGAGACCGGACAAACTTTTGTCAGACCAGATACATTTACCATTTTTGGAAGAGAAAAATAGGAATAAATAAGTACAGAAAATGTATTTTATTAACAATTTTCTATTTCATATTCGTAAATAAAACTTCTTATAAGATTTTCATTTTCGCTATCTGACTGTTCATTTTCACTATCACGTTCATCCTCCATTTCATCTTCTGTCTCTGAGTCATAATCAGATTCAGCTACATCTCCCTGATTTGCAATGCCATTCTCTGTTTCCTGAGTTACCTCCTCTTCAACCACATCAGCCTCTTCAACAGTCTCTTCCACAATCTCTTCATCATTAACTTGCACAGTCTGGTTTGAAACCAAAATTTTCTTCCTTCTCTGGTAATTCATCTTCCTTCTCTTCCCTTTAGGTGTTAACTATTGATTTAACAAAAAATATCATTTAATTTTTCATGATCAAGATGTAACATGTACATTACTTTATTTGATAATTGGTTTTATTCATTTACAGTATATAATTATCATCCACTTATCAACGGCTTCTTTTGGATTAAACTCCATTACTGAAGGTGATTGCAGCCTAATCATCATGCAATCATTGAGATGTTTCTCACTCAGTCTGTGACGTCTTGATGTTTTTAGTAGCTTCATTTGATTAAAAGCCGTTTCATTTACAACACTTGTTGCAGGAAGACTTTGAATTAGGTCCAACACATTCAAAATGTTTGGTATTTCATTATCTGAAAAATTTGAATGGATATCTTCCAAAGATGTACTGCCAATCTTCTCACCAAATCTAAAGAAGAAATTAGAAAAAATGTTATCTAGGCAGTTATTTTCATTTAAAATAATAAAAATTAATTTGTTTATTTTTTGTATTATGTGGTTGTATGAAGATATACCTTTTGTAAGAAAGAAATTTTAACATCTGCCATTCTCCCAACAAATCTGTAAGATCTGTGCCTTGATTTTCCAATGCTCTGCAATACACTGGACTTCTTTAGCACCAAAATCTGGAGAAGAAAAAAAGTAATACTGTTTATATTTTGCTTTAAAAAGAAAGCATTTATGTAAAAAAAAAGATATTTTAGCTTAAATTCATTTAAACAAGTCTCACACCAAGCCTAAGCACATGAGAATGTCATAAAAAAGGGTTGGTTATTAATAGTTAGGATATGAAGTATATACTAGAAAGACTACAAAGGATAGAAGAAATACAGAGTATAGTTGGAATATGATACAAAATACACACTATTTATATTTACCAATTTTTCTGCAGGAAGAAAATAACTGTAAAAAAGAAAGGACTAAATAACAGTAAAAACAGATCAACAAAGATAATAAACAACAAAGTAATAAAATCATATTTTAATTAAAACAAATAACTGTTTAATTTTTTTGTATGAAAAATTTACATACCAGCAACATTTTCTCGTGGCCAGCTTTTTACATTTGCAATAATAGTTGATTCTATAACATCATCTCCTAGGTCCCTGTATCTTGCCTCCATATGTTTGATTAAAGAAGACTTAATGACACTGACTTTCTTCTCCATGTCAGTTGGTGGACCTTGTCTTTTCAAAGGATATCCTGATATTTCTTTTCTGGTTTCAATATCATGCATCAATATACATGAACTAGAAACATTTTAAATATATATCAATTACAAAATTCAAGATGACTGATGTGTGAGACTAAAGAAGAAAAACAAGTTATAAAAGTAAAAACTCAAAATAAAATGTTAATTGAAAGGTATGGAACCTTGTGCTGAACTGTTTAAGTATTTCCATCGTTGATGAAATAGTTACTTTAACATCAGCCAATGTAATATTGGACTTCTGTAAAAATTCTGCAAAAAATAATTTCATGTAATGAATTTTTGAACTTCACTCTTAATTAAAAGTTTGCCTTTGAGGATTAAAAAATCATATTGACTCCACTGAAATAATGTATAAAATGATTACCTAGAGAAAAGCAGCATAGGTCATGAGGGTGCAATCTTCCAGCATCTTGACCAGCCCTTCTGCCTTTGGGTTTGAGTGAGATTCATTCTGTAGATGACTTATAAAAGCAGGATATGTCTTGAAGAGTGTCTGAAGCGCCTTCTTCATATGAGGCATCCACCTACTTCCACTTACTCTATGAGGCAGTGTACCACTGATATTTATGACCTGAAATAATATACCTTTTTATAATTAAAGTTATCATTTAAAATATAATTCATTAATTTGATAATTTTCATGATCATATTGAAATTCATATCGGAAATTAAGGAACAATAAAAATATTTTGGAGTACTTACTTCCATACACTTTCTCAAATTTTTCCTTTGCTTTGGACTGTTTTTGTAGAAGTAAAACAAACCTAGTAATAAAGTTGTCAATTTCACAAAAAGTTTATCAGCTTTGAAAGTGTCTTTGAAAGCTAATTCAAGTCTGTGGGCCAAACAGTGAACAGCTATCATCTCAGGATGATCCTTCTTTAATAACGTCACAAGTCCATTTTTGTCCCCAAACATATTAGATGCCCAGTCACACCCGAACCCCACAATTTTTGGCATGTGAGGCAACAACCCATTTTGTTCTATTTTCTCCATAACAAATTTATACAAATGCTCTGAGCATGTGGATTCTGGCTCACCAATGCAAAAGAATTGGGTTTGAATTTTCCCCTGTGAACACCATCAGTCTGATGAATATTGTTTCTTGTTCCCTTATAGAGTCATCTGTGATTCCGTCCATTGTTAAGCTAAAGTATTTCACATCTTGAAGAACACTAACGAGTTTTTCTTTTTCCACATCTGAAATATATTCTATAAATGATGCAGCAGCTTGATGATTATTGTAAGTGTCTCCAACATCAAGACCTTTGGCCTTATCTAGATCATGCAACCATTTAAAATCTGATAGTGGGCGGTGATTTTTCACCAACGCATGAATATTCCTAAACATGTTCTCGATTCTTTTTCTCTGTGCCTCGTTCATTAGTATAAGTGTCTTGTGTGCAACACTAGCATTCTTCTCTGCTTCTTTTCGTGAATTAATTACCTTTCCTGCATTTAAGTGAGTTGATGACTTCTCATGGTCTGTGATCGTTGAAGAACGGTAATTTTTGGAGCCCGTAATGAACGAATGTTTGTTTCCCTGATTATTTACAATGTTTACACCCACTTCGATGCACCATGAACAAGTCATCCCCTTTTCCTGCGTATAATTCAACCATACACGATCCGTTTTCCACGTCTCTTGAAATTCACGATTACCTCTAGTGTCTTCATAATTATTTTTAGCTGTTAGTGGTTCCACCTTTCTCTTCTTCCCAGGGAGAGCTCCCTTTACAAACTTGATCGCCCATGTGGCCATTTTTGTTGTTTGTGTGACCTTCACCCGCGCATCCCGATCTCAATCTTAAAAATTCGCCATCGAGCCCAATTTTTTTATCGGTCATCTGGACCGACGATTTCTAGATATTTATCGGTCCAGACAATTTTTTACCGGCCTTGCCGACAGGACCGACGGATTTCGACAAGTCTGGAATTCTTTGTTTGACTTAAACATACGGACGTCCCTTTCACAAGTTGGTCAGTTTTTGAGAAAGGAACTCTAAGCTCTACGAAATTTTCCCCAGAATTTTCATTTTTTCTAAATTTCACATGTTCAATAGAAATAATTTGATTTGCTTGATTTGAACTACAAAAGGTAAATTCACCGATTCTAAAAAAAGCATGATCGGCTACCAAAATGCCGTTGAAAAAAGAATGGTTTCGAAGTTCGACGAACACACTAAATTTGTTGCTTTTATAAGTTTCTCAAGAATGTGTTTTGTGATTGGAAGTCTACAATCTTTGGAATGGTTTGACCTTTTGATTCCTTCCAATAACTTCCTAATAAGAAAGTTTTTTGTGTTGTCAAGAAACCCAATATTTTGCATTTGAAACTTATTCCTGATATATAGGATGAAATAGTAGAATGAGCCAAACCTTGCAGGGATAAATGAGCAATAAACATACAAATGTTGGAACAGGCGGGGGCCAAACAGTACAAAGTTCATACAAAATTCTGAATTGCTAAAAGCTTTTTAGACTAGTTGAGTATGTTTGCCTTGTATTTACTGATACTGAATTAAGTGTCAAGCGTTTAGATAATTTTCGCAAAATCTTCTGGAATAGGTGTCGGATTTTGATCGGAGTTGGGGAGTTGGGGACAAGAACTCGAAACCTGGTCCACTGTTTGCGAGAAATAGAATCAGCTATAGCATTATTATAACCATCTATATGACAAGTTTTAAAGTCAAAATTTTTTACTATGGAATATAAAACCAATGGGCTAACCAATTCCATAACTCGAGCAGATCTTGATGAGTTTTTGTTTAAAATGGAAACTAGCGCTTTATTGTCAGTGTGTAGCATTACCTTCATGTCGAGAAATTCATTCTTAAATAAGAAAATTGCAAGGACAATTGGCACAATAACTCTAAAAATGTTATGTCTAACATAATGTCTGGATTCTTCCAGCTATCTGGCCAACCAAAATATGCCCATTGCCCATGAAGGTAAACGCCGCATCCTAAATGTTGATTGCCTGCACTATCAGTGTAGAGATGAAGTTGGTCATTAGGCAACCAATTAACAGTCATGTAATTTAAACTGCCATTAAACCTGTGTATAAAATCTAACCACACAAGAAGGTCAGATTTCATTCCCTTTGTTACCCTAATGAAATGACTTGGGTATTTTATTCCACACATAGCATCACAAAATCTTCTATTAAAGGCCCTAGCAGATGGAATAGCTTTCGCACAAAAATTCAGAGAACCTACCAACAATTGTAATTCTCTCAGCGTAACTTTTGTTTGGTTTTTTTTTTTGTAACATATCACGCAGTGATTTCTCCGGATCGAATTTTTTTTTCTTCGGGAATTCGAATAATCATCTTACCTGTATCAATTTCTTTACCCAGGAATGTATGTACCGATTTTTGCCCATGTTTTCTCTTCTGCAAGAGGGATGCCAAAAGCAGAGCAGGTATTTTTGAATGAAAACATCAACAAGTTACATGTTTCTAACATGCCCATAGCAAATATGAAATCATTTAAGTAATGGTTCAGTGTATGAACTCCAGTTTTTACTTCTACTACCCACTGAATAAAATGTGCAAACTTTTCCCCATAAAGTACAACTAATTGAACAACCCATTGGAAGACACATCGTAATAATATTGATCATTAAACTTGAAACCAAGTTATTGATGGTCAGAAGGGTGAACCGGAAGAAATCTAAAAGCTGATTTCACATCCATTTCACTTCTTTTGACGAGTTTTTAGACATGGTAGGGTCACTGGGAAAAGGGGCTTATCTTGGAAAAAATTAGAAGGATATGAAATGTGGTGAATGAGACGCCAATCCCCATCCTTTTTTGCCACTACTCCAATGGGTGATAGCATTAAATTGGGCAAAGGTTCATGATTAAAAGGACCTGCTATTCGACCCAAAGAAATTTCTTTGTTAAATTTATCTTTTAGCTCTTTAGGGTGATCGTTCACAGAAACTAAATTTTTACAGCTTGTTGACACTCTTGGACCTTCATAATGTAGATAAAAACCTAATTAAAACCCGTTCTTTAATTCATTAGCAACGGTTTGATTTGGAAAAATTGACAGATAAGAACACATATTATTCAAGTTAATTGGTGTTAAACCTGTTCTTACGAAAGGAACCAGTAAGTATTTGCTGCCTGACTGATGAAAAAATGAGAAGGGGCTTGAAAAGCCCTGGAGGATGATGTCCTCTGTACCGCTTGTGTATCAGGACAATGAATTGCAGGATGTTTGTTTTGAAACTTTAAACACTGGTGTTGATATTGACAATTTTGCATGCGACAAGAGCCTTTGTTGCTGTATTTATAACAAAATTTTGAGCTGCCCTGAGAATTTTTGTGTTGTAATTTTGATTGTATTTACAGGTTTTAATGTGAGTTGACCATTTGTAAATAGAACTCTACTCTCCTGTGCTTCAATATCTGATTGCTTATTTAAAAGTGTATGCAATTCTACAAACGTCCCTTTCATGATTTTTAGCTCTTCCGGTCAGAAACCAGAAGAGCTTATGCGATACTAATGCGTCCGTCGTCCTTCCGTCTGTCTGTCTATCTGTAAACAATTTTTCAAAATGCTACTCCTCCTACAGTTTTGGTCTGATTTCAATATACCGTATATCAGGATTTTTCCGCGTGTATCCAATTTCCGCTTTGTTCGCGACGGGTTCTGAATCGCGGAAAATAAAACAGCGTAAATTTAATACAAAGTTTTCTTTTGTAGTAGAATTATTTCTTAATGCTTATATCGCAAAGGGTAGATATAGCGGGATCAGAGGACAAGCACAAGATACCGGTAATAGGTACAAGCCCTTATTGTTTGTTTACCAATTGACAAGCTAGCTAATTATATGGGTCACTTTCCTTGCCAGAAGCTATTAAACTAATTATACCTGAGCTGCTAGTCAGTTTGGAAAAGTAACTGACCAATGATTGTTTAAATTTTAAAAAATAATAGCCGTGGATTTGATAATTCGTATGCAACACAGGTGTGTAATCAGCTGAGCGGGTCTTCTGAAATTGACGAGGTGAGGGTCGGTCGATCTATTTCTCACCCATATGAAATAACTGAAGCTTAATGACTTTACATTTTACATCCCATTCCTTCATAAGCTTAAACAACTGTTAATAATATAATCACTGGGACTTTGAAATAGTGAAAATTTGATTCGCGTAAATTTAATATACTGATTTAGGTTCTGATTCGCGGAAAAAACATGACGCGGAAAAAACCTGATATACGGTAATTTGGTACACAAGTAGACTACACTAAGATACATAATTCTGTATATCGGTTTTTGATTTCGATGAACGGTGTTACCGTGGTTACTAAAACTAGAAATTTCTTGGAAATACATTCAAAATGCTACTCCTCCTACAGTTTTGGTCTGATTTCAATACAACTTGGCACACAAGTAGACTACACTACAATAAGATACATAATTCTATGTATCGGTTTTTGATTTCGATGAATGTGTTGCCTAGTTGCTAAAAATAGAGATTTCTGTAATATACTTTTAAATTGCTACTCCTGCTACAGTTTTGGTCTGATTTCAATATAACTTGGCACACAAGCAGACTACACTAAGATACATAATTCTATATACTAGTGTCAGATTTTGATTTCGATGAACAGTGTTGCCTTGGTTACTGAGAATAGAAATTACTGTAAAATACCATATATAGTTGCCTATAAGTTGGCTTTTTGGAGTTCAAATTTGGTCCAAAACTCTCTGTCTGACTTATGGGTGAGATATAAAAAGACTGTTCTTTTAGAAGGTTTATCTTTCTAACATAAGCTTAAAAAATACATTTATAGGCGAGTATATACGGTACTTTCAAAATGCTACTCCAAATCCAGTTTGAGTCTGATTATAATATAATTTGGCATGCAAGTAGACTACACTGAGATACATAAAATCAGTTTTGTGTTTTTGATTTTGATGATTGATGTTGCCATAGTGATTTAAATTGAAAATTCTGTTAAATTTATTAAAAGCTACTCCTACAGTACTGTTAACGTTGTAGTCTTATTGCAATCTTGCCACAAAGAGACTTAATCAAGGATCTCATTATTCCATTTATTGCTTTTGTAAAGTTTTAAGTCCCAACTGCTACTTTTCTCTTCCTTTGTTATAAGTACAAACCAGTAGAGCAACAGTCTCTACAGAGACTTCTGGTTTGTTTAACTGACTGTGTAACATGCATACCTAGGTCATCATTTACACTGGTTATGCTCTGAGGCATTGAACATGAAGGAGAAATTGTGTCAAAACAAATGACTTGATCTGAATCAGATAAATTTTGCACATTGTCAGTTGATGGACTAGAAGAGACTTTGCTACCTTCAGACGATGGTGTGTCAAGCCGTTGAGATAGAATCGTCTCTACCCTCTTGTTGATTTCCGGTAGCATTTTTTCCGCTACTGAAGAAACAACCTACTCAAGGTCTGGCATTGCCTCCTTGTTTGTTCCGGTTGTTTGAGGTGGCTGTGAGTTCTTTACTTTCTGGCATCTTTTCTTTACGCCCAGAAGTCTGGCCTTCCCTGCGAATTTCCTTTTCCTATTCGTTGCCGTTGGCCTCCCTCCTTCGTCAATCGAGTGCGACTTTTGTCGTGGTTGCTTCTTTCAAAATACGATAAATAAATGTATTTTAACTCTGATGTATAAAAGAAATTGAATATGATCCCAAAGCAGTTATCAAGAAAAACAATTGACGATACAGAAGTTGTCAGAAGGACTAAAAGTATGTTTATATTAGAAAATATTACAATAAAAACACGAATTCTTTTGATTAATAAATAGTTAACCCTATACCTCATAAATGAGAAATAAACCAATGGATTAAATGGAGAAAATTAGAAGATACATCAAATTTTTAAGCTAAGAGATAAGCTACACCCACCTCTCAATCCAACTGTAACAAATATTGTGATCTGAATCAGATAAACCCGTTACATTGTTTCGTAACATAACCCCTCCTGAAGAAAGCATTCGTCCCAAATGCAACTGGACTTGGGTCTACTAAAAACTTCACTTGCAGCTATATATAAGTAAGGATAAATCAATATAACAACAATGCACTGAAAATGTACAATGACATGTATGCATAAAATGACAAAAAGCAGCATTAATGGAAAATGGTTACATGTATCAATCATATCACACTTATCTCAAATTTATATATTCATCACAATGACTATTATTATACTTTCATGTTAAATACTAAAATCTGATTGGTTTAGACGCAGTTAACAATCCGTTCGATTACCCTGAGCCTTAGCAACACACGTGACAACAGGTAACACAACGGTAATGCCACATGCGTGGAAGTTATGCGCGAACGGTTCACCGTAGAATTCTCAAAACGTCAGTTGCGCGTTTGAAAGAACCGGAATTTACTTGACGTCAATAAAAGCTTGCGTCCGATATAGCTTACTTGAAAACAACAAACGACAGACGATACATGCTTGCGAGTGTAGGAAACATGCTTGAGAGCCAGAAATAACGAAACTTATATGACAAATGACTCTAATTCGAGTATCAAACAAACAGTAAGGAGATCAGTGAACCGGTGAGTATGAAAGCTTTCTATACATGAACGTAAAGACGATCGACGTTTATTTTTTTTTTTTTTGCTGACGTCCTAAATCAATAAGACATTCAGTATAATAAAATAAATGGTGCCTGTTTTGGAGGGTAACATTTGAAATTGACACCCCTCGGAAAACCATTGTCAACCTCCGCTGACGCGTCGGTTGACAATGGTTTTCCTTGGGGTGTCAATTTCAAATGTTACCCTCCAAAACAGGCACCATTTATATAATGCTACATGTAATTATATAAAAATCTTTGGTTACATCCATCCCATATCAACAAAATAATACAAAATCAACTTGAACCTAGTGGGCTTTAAAATATTAATAATTCTCCTACCATCAAAACACTTTACTTATATATGAATGATTATTTAAACAATGACATACATTCAAACTGAAAAGTAATATCTTGACTCCACTATAGCACAAATCACACTTATTCTTCTAAAAATTCCTTATGCCCCAAGATCATGACAAACATTTGACTTTCAATAATCTCAGCTAGAGTCTCTAATCTATAGAAAACGGCCTCAATTTGTATCTTACATAATGTTCTGGCGTCACTGGACAGGTGGCAGTTAATGTTTTTGGCCCCATCTCTCAGGTAGTGAAGTATTACATCGGAATACGTGGAGTCCTGGTCTACAAAATACACATTCAGGTCCCCTCGGTCACAAATAGTGTATGAAGGTGATATGGTGGGGTCCTCCATCATCCTCGAAAACAACGAATCAGGGTAATTCCTCAGTGGGGCACTTGTCGTTACGAATAATTTCCCGCCAACATCTAGTCCAACACGTTACTGCGGTACTGTGGATGAGGGTTGCTTTCTCCTGGAAAGAGATGTCTTGATGGAAGCGTCCTTTTTGTCAAACTCCCTATCAGTGGCGGTTGTAACTGTCCTAATAGGCGTTGAAGTTGCTGCTGGTTCGGCAATGGACACATTAGGAGACAGAAGATCATCTTCCTCTAAGGAATCACTCAGGATATCGCCAAAGAGTCGCTTTAACGACTCCCTCGTGGGTTTACCAGGAGTCGATCTGCTCTTGAGTGGTGATGTTACGTGTACAACTGCATCCATCGGCGGAATGGGCGTGAATCGTCGCGTCATGGTGTTTTGTGCGGATGTTGTCACAACGTTTATCTCCGAAGACACGAGTTGCGGTACTGGGGCGGACATCTCCGAAGGCACGAGTGTTGGTATAGGGGTGGACATGTCCGAAGACACGAGTGGTGGTACAGGGGTGGACATCTCCGAAGGCACAGGTGGTGGCACTGGAGTGGACCTCTTTGAAGGTACGTGTGGCGGCACTGGGGTGGACCTCTTCGCCAGCTTCCTGGACTTCCTCACCCGGTGCGGTTTTGAATAAGGACCTCCTCTTGGCCTGGCCTAGATTGTATGGCTGGTAGCTGAAGACCAAGGAGAGCTCCTTCATAAATGGAATGACGTACCTCCCCCTCCCACGCTGGAACGCTTCGAATTCTTTTTCTTCCTCTAAGGTGAGTCTTATGGTGGCCTTTTTTACCCTCTGTAAGGTCCTCCCCTCGCAACCGTGCTTCTGGTCTTTACGGCCCAATATCATTCCTGAAGTGGCGCACTTGTTCACGAAGCCGGAATGGACCGCCGTCATATGACGTTCACAGTGGCTCTGCTGGGTAAATTCTCTAAAGTTTGGACCTGTAAAGTGATAAAGGGATACTTAGTCCCTTATTCTGTGAACAATTATAGTGAACAACCTTGGGTTTGCTTTTTCTCGTTTTTGTAATTTTGTATATGACATCATTGATTTTTTTCAGAATTAAGGAAGGTCCTAACTAATGACATTGAAACTTTGGTGATCTCATTTTATTAATATTAAAGGCAAGGTACCACATAGTCTGGTCCGATTTATGGGAAAAAAATACTTCTAACGGCAAATAATTATAATTTGGTCCAGCATAGTTTTTAACCTAATTCGAGTATGCTGAATCCGAAAAAAATATGCTGGCCTTCATGAAAATGGCGTTAAAGAGGTCAAAATGGCGATTCAAAATGGCGGACATCAAATTTTTCTAATTTTCTCTTTATATCGTTCAAAATGGAGAAATACTGTGTGAATATCTCACTGAGTGTAATACAAGTATAAAATGATAATAGAATACTAACATTATTAATTTAATTCAGAAAATTTAGTCGTTTCTACATTTAATTCGAATTTTCTCTGATTTTGTTTTCTATTGTTCTATATTCTGCTTTGTTCGGGATTTTACATTTGCAAATATCCATACACTGCAGATTTGTATTTTTTCCTCTACATCTCACTATTGTACAGCTGAATGATGGTGCATCTGTAAGTTAAGATCAATATAGCGATTCAAAATGACGGATATTCAGTTTTTTTAAAAAATCATTTCTTAATGTCGTTTACATAGGAGAAAGGATTTGTAAATATCTTACTGAACGTAAAACAACTATGTGAATTTCCAATATAACTTTAATATTATCACACTGACTTTAATTCGAAAAATTTAGTCGTTTAAATTTGAAATGTGTTAATTAGCTCAAAATGGCGATTCAAAATGACGTCATATTCACTCGAATTTCGTAAAATACTCAAACTGCTTAATTCTGATTCGTTTTGCAGAAAATAAATTACAATTTGTTTTTTATGTATAGTATATTGATTAGTCCAATAACTATGAACAAACAAAAAATACTAGAAAAGATTCATTATGCCCCCCGCTTGAAAAGTAGGAGAGTATACTGTAATCGGTATGTCCGTCTGTCCGTCTGTTACGCTTTGCGGTACCCATCTCTTATCCCCAACTCCTCTTATACCACTGAGTGAAATTTAATGAAACTTTTACAGAATCTTTATAACATATCGCCATTGTGCACCTCCTATTTTGCTTTTTGATTCGACACATATTTTGGGTTTCCCGGCCACAGCAAAACATGGACTTTGCCATTATAACCATATGGAAGGCGGGGGATATCATTTAGTGAGCTCACTGCTCATAGTACCTCTAGTTTTTTTCTGGAAATAGATAGAACAACGTCGACTTAAGCGTTTCCAAATTTTCCCCCCTCGTATTTGACCGTGTTCCGAAGCTTTTGAGCACCCGTCCACCTAAAATCACTCCTGAATCCTGTCATTATCAACACGCACTTCTACTTCAACCTTCCTCAGCACACCATCAAATATAACTGAAGAAATTCTTGTCCGATTTCATCGAACACTTTGTTCCAGCTTTTTAGCACTTATAAGAACTTAGTATTATCCCCTAACATCTTCTATTCCAGATTTATTTGCTAAATGTTTCAGTTCTTCGGAATTTTGGTATTGTCAACACTCAAGTAAAATTGTGCCCCGTGTCAAGGATGACAACCCCTTGGCACGTAAAAGATCGTTTCTCTGGAGTTCGAAAAAGAGTAAGCTCACTGGGGGCCGCCAGAGAAACCAACATCCTTCAAAAACCGATTATTTAAACTGAGAGTCCACCGAAACATGGCTGAAAAATTGCCGACCTGCTGGCAGTTTTACTAAAGGTCGTAAGTTAAAACGTAGGCGTAAACGTAGACGTAGACGTAACTTACGTCGATTTTGCGTTTTACTAAAGATCGTATCTTACGATTTGACGTAGATTTACGTGAAAATCTACGTCTGCTCCATAGCAGCCGTAAGAAATCACTTAGCGTTTTCAACTTCTAAATAAAAATGGCGACTATATTATTTATGCAGCGTTCTTTGCGCAAACAGCGTGTTTTCCGAGATAGAAGCCAGCCATTGGATTCTTTCGACGACTCGGAGCTCATTTCTAGGTACCGTTTCCCTCGAAGGATAATTTTCGATTTGATCGATGGGGTAGATGAGCAACTTCGGCCATATACAGAAAGATCACATGCCATCCCCACTCAGCTGCAGGTAATATAAACATTGAAACTGAAAGTATCCGTGTCACATCCTATGGCAACGGGAGTTTCTAAACGATAAACCGTTAGGTCAGGAAAATAAGAATCCGGTAAAAGTAGACAGATAATAAAATTATACTTGTAAATATCTTAATTTTGTTACCCTACAGTATGTACTTAAAGGAAATCATGAAGAAAGAAAACAGTTCTTTATGGTGTTAAAAATTAAGGTATAAATAAAACCCCTGTTTGTTTGTTGTGTGTTTTGGGGGGTAAACAAAATTCTTTTAGAAATAGCATTTATTCATACACAACACATACATGTAGTGACGTACACATATCTTGTTAAGTACTATGTAGTGTTTGTTTTTTTAATTTTCGGTTACATTAATTTTGTTAAATGCTCAGACAACCTAAACTAAGTGGTTCCAGTATTTTGAATTATTATTTTTTGACGGAGTCGAAATGTACGAAAACGGCAAACATTTTGATAGGGGTCGGATGGAGGGTAAAGTGGAAGCTCACAACCCTAGCACAAAAATTAAACTACATTGAAGTTAAGATCATATTACTTGGTTTTTTGTTTGTTTTTTTTTTGGGGGGGGGGGCTCTCGAATGTACATATTTTTTTCTCTTTCACATGTAAACCTCGACTGTGAATATTATCTTAAAGTAATATACCCCCCCCCCCCCCACACACACACACCCTCACACACACGACACAAAAGATAATTTCGTGTTCGGGCAAAGGACATTTCCTTTTTTCATGGTTTTTTTAGGGCTAATTTTTTTTCTTACACTTAGCCCCCCCCCTCCTTTTAATTTGCTTCTAACGCCAATGACAGATATATGTAGTATTCATCGTCCATATGATGTTTATAATTGTATATCATATTAAATAAAAGGATAAACATGTAATTCATGCCTACATGTACATACAGTCCTGCAAAAAATCAAAACACAATACATTAGTTATACATGTACATGTGTTCGTGTTCCCCAAATACCGGGTAATATATAACCAATCTTGAATTGAAATATCTAAATTCTTTCTTCTTAGTTCGTATTTAAAATAGTCAATACTCAATACCTAGTAAATACCTAGTAAAACTACTTAAAAGGCAGTGGTTGTATGACCAGTAAATTTACTAGTTTTTTTTTCAGTGCACCAGTCTTCTGCGCCAAACTCGAGCTCGTAATAGAGTTTTAGCGGGAAAATAATTAATTCAACAAAATTGAAAATTCAATTAACACAGACGCTTTAAATAGTTTTTTTTTAATTTAATATGGTTATATAACTTTATTTTATCAACACAATTTCATAATTTACATAAGAATGAAAACATAATTTAAAAGTTACATAAACCGAGTTCTAACAGGGGCGTAGCTAGACAAAAATGATGTGCACGCCAAAAAAGGCAGGGGGTCTGGGGGCCGCCTTGAGGCCCCCAGTGGGTCCAGGGCGAAGCCCTGGTGGGGGCCCAGGGGGCGAAGCCCCCGGAAGCTCCTGGGTTTTCACGTTTAGACTGAACAAAATTTACGGTATTTTTAAATATATAACGTATGCTACGAGATGAAGTCAACTTCACGATATTCTGCTTTATGACACCAAAAAATAATAGATCTATTAATATTTAAAAAATATTTATGTTTTTTTTTTTATAAAATCAAGTGCATTGTCTGAATTTTTTGATTACTTTAAAAAGGTATTTTTAGTTCTATTTTTTGTCTAATTTTTAAATAATGAAAATAAAACAAAACAATTTCAATCCAGCAAATTTAATTTCCCCAAAACGTGCGGCGTCATGTTTCGTGTTTTATCGTTTAGCCTCTACCTAAAATTCTCCAAAATCCATTTTTTTCTGGATTTAGCATTAACAAATTGTTCCATTGCTTTTTCTATATCAATTTTAAAATCTCTGTGAATATGGAGAAGTCCAAGCGATGACAATCTGTCATTTCTCATAGTGGAACGGACGTACGTTTTCAGTCGCCGCAAAACGCTGAAGGACTCTCTGCAGTTGCGCTTGCTACCGGCATGGTTAGCAATATGAATAAAATGGACTCTATTGTTGGATATAGCGCTGAATTAATAGAATCTAATGTACTGCAAAGTGTGCGCGGTTTCTCGTCTTGCGCCGTCAATCCCCATCTTGTGCGCCAACGGGCAACTTCTCTCCTAAACTCTTCCAAAGACAATATGATATCGTCCTGAAAGGCATTGTATATGGCTGCAATATGTTCATTGGTAATATTTTCTAAATATACGGGAAGAAGGTGTTGCGCCATGAAACGATCCTCGGATTTAAGTAGTCGCGAATCGAGTTCCATAATAACGTGATCCACAAATGGATAATACATTGAAATGCGCCAATACTGTCGGGGAGTATCAGCTGGGTGATTGGCTCTCCCTGTCTGTCTTCCACACCGTCTTGGCATACTTTCATCCACTTGTAGCGGTGCAGCTAGATCTAATGCCACCTGATACAACTCGTCCCAAACTGAATCATCTTCCCTTTCCTGCCTCAGCATCTCAACAACAACTGTACACTCCTTGACTGCCTCAAGTAGATCGCATTCGACGCCCTGTAAGAAAAGAGAAAGGTGAACAGTGCTTTGTAGGACGTGCTCGGCAACAACTAGACCAATGATAAAATCAAATCTCGTAACTGCGTTAACCTGCTGTCCTGCTTTATCATCACCTTGGTCGTGCAAACTCTCAAGCGCATGTACAACTACCGGAAGAGATGTCTTGAAAGTGAACAAAGCATCCGCACGACTTGTCCATCTTGTCTCACATAAAGTCCGAAGCTTAGTTCTCTTTTCCATTTTTTCTTTCGTTGCCTCGTCTGCTTCCAATTCATCAAAGAAAGCCTGTAGCTTCTTTGATGAATAATCAAAAGAAAATGCAATTTCTTGAACGGTGGTCATTACGCTGCGAATTGACTTGTTACTGCAACTGTGCACAACGGCTAAGTTCAGACAGTGGGATTTGCAATGTACATATAGCGCACCTGGAACAACCTGCCGTATTCTTGCTTGTACCCCACTGTACTTTCCAGACATATTGGCTGCTCCATCATACCCCTGAGCTCTCATTTTTGCAATATCTATACCAGCCCCTTGAAGAGTTTGAATCAAAAGTTCGGCTAAATGATCACCTTTTGTGCTACGTGCCATAACAAAGTCAAGAAAATCCTCTTTAATAGATATTTCATTGCTCACTTGATCCCGAACCAAGTAACGTAGGCAAACAGAAAGCTGTTCTCGAGTCGCAGTATCTGTGGTTTCATCAGCTATGAGCGCAAAACATTTACTCTTGTTGCAATTGCAGTTCGGATTTGGTTTGCTAGCAAATTTATAATTTCATTTTGAATGTCAGGGGATGTGTAGAGAGTTTTGCGATTCCCTGAAAGATGTTCAGCAAGTATTTCATCACCCTGCGCCATAGAATGCAATATTGCTATGAAATTACTGCGTTCCGGAACGTGTCCACGGATGGGTATATTTTGCTTTCCACAAAGCAGAAGTACTTCCATAATTTTCTTCAAAATATGACGATTTTTTGAAACTTGGGCCTTTCTAAATGTGGATAATTTATACAAGATGGGCTCTTCATCGCCATCTTTAGAGTAAATTCGTATGAATTCCTCGGCCATTGTTTGGTATGTGTAATGTGGTGAATTTTCCCTAAGGTGACGTTTGATGAAACCAGGTAAGTTTGACCAATCTGTAACTTTATTTATGAAAAGTTTTTCTTTGCATTCTTTTCGGCCAAACAAAACACATGGACCACAGAACAGGGCATCATCTTGAATGCTGTATCGTAACCAAGGGTGATCTAGAAGCCATTTAGCAGATAAACGGCGTCGACGATTTCCAAAGTCCCTATGGAAGCAATAACAAAAAATCACATTGGCATTGGATTTCTTAGTACTATAACGTAGATGCTTATTTTAGAAATGTCATAAAAATGAATGACGAAGATATTCAGATTACATGTACTATAATGTCAACAATCTTTAATTTCCTTTTTATTTCCCTACAACTGTCAAGAGATCTTTTTCATTATTGGTTTAATATTTACCTTGCAGGAAAGTCGAAAGTGTGGGGATTTTCCCATTTACATGTCAAAATCTTTATTTTTGTTTTCTTCACAAGCAGTTCGTAGTCGTCTAACGTGGCAATATCTGGGTAGGGTGGGAGGCTTGCAGAAATCGTCGAAGATGAACATGATGGAGGTGATTCCTTCGAAGGGGTTGATGCCCCTGAATCATTATCGGGGATACATGTACATGTATTTTGCTCAGATTTGTCTGGTGTTGAAACCGGTTTCGTAACCTTACTGAAAAACCGGTCTATAGTTTGATTCGACTGCTTTGATTTGGGTTTCGTTTCGGGTGTTTTTGACATAATTGATTAGTTTGTATAATACGTACCATGCCAGTCATTTCATTATCGGAAATACAGTTACGCGCATTTAAATTGGAATTTTTATGAAAAGAGTTTGTAAATCCGGATTAACTATAGGTATTACATATATAACGTTAGGCCTGCAGGCATAGTGAGTTTACACGGAATCTTTTAGGAATCTAAATTTTTATATGACGATATAATCATTTTTTTTAATAATAAATTTTATAAAAATGCACAATAATTTTTTTTGGGACTAAAAGATGTGCACGCCATGGCGTGCTGGCGTATAGGCAGCTACACCCCTGTCTAACTATCCTCCATAAAAACAGAAGCTTTTAACTTCGTATATGATGAAAAGTGTGACCTGTAATTTAAAAAAAAAAAATATTCTCATTGTTCCTTTTCAGGTCCTATGTACGTTGCGTTACATTGCAAAAGCTGATTTCTTTTCGGAAGTTGGAGATGTTCACGGAGTTTCCAAATCGTCCGTTTCAGTATGTTTACCAAGGGTGTGCCAAGCCCTTTGTGAGCACTTGCAGAACATTAAATTCCCATCTTCAGTGCACTCTTTAAGGAAAATAAAAGACGAATTCCACAGCATCGCCCGTTTCCCCAACGTGGTAGGGGCCATTGACGGGACCCTTATCCCCATCAAAGGGATGAGTACCGAGGATGAACACATATATGTATCGAGAAAAAACTTTCATGCCCTTAATATCCAAGGGGTTGTGGACGCAGAGATGAGGTCTGCTCAAATATTTTTTGCAAATTTGTACAATGCAGTCCACTTACAAAAGTTATAACATACTTTAAAGGTACTTGGACACAGATTTGAAGTTATTATTTTCTTTATAACATTACGACTTATATATTTTAATAAAAATCTTATTTCGTTTAAAAGATATTGAAATTTCAAATTTTTCGGCGGGTTTGATTGACACATCGTTGCACTCTCACAAATTTAATTTTATTCTTAATCCTTAGGAAAAGTGGCAATCTCGTTTTGTATAAATGAAAAACATTAATACTTTAATCCAGAAAATTCAGAGTAGACACGTTCGAAAGCAAAAGAAACCCACAATATATTGTCAGTCCGTGCAGTTGTGGTAAGCAGACTGTGACGATTGAACGCACCCAGTGAATTCTAAATATAAACAATAACAGAACTCGAGCCCTGTTTACAAAAACTGTGTACATAACACGAGTGTGATCGATTTGCTAAACTCTGCACGCATCTCTTAGTTCGGAATGACGATACTTGTGAAGGTGTTTTGCTTTCTAACATTTCTACTCTGAAAAAAATATTTTTATTGATAAAAGTTTTAATATTTCTCATTAAAACACATCAAAATTACCACTTTTCCTAAGGATTAAGAATAAAGTTAAAATTTGTGAAAGTGCAAAGATGTGTCAATCAAACCCGCCAAAAAATTTTAAGTTTTAATAACTTTTAATCGAAATAAGATTTTTAATCAATTTTTGTGTGAAATGCTATCAAAATATATAATTCGTGATATTATACAGAAAAAATGAGAAAATATTAACTTCAAATCTGTGTCTAAGTACCTTTAAAATGGAGAACATTTTGTTTCTCTTCTTGCTGAATTTTCTTTACGATCACACAATGTCATAATGATTATACTTTTATTTTAGATTTCTCAACATCAATTGCCGATTCCCAGGCAGTGCGCATGATGCATACATCATGTCAAACTCCACCATTCCGGACATCATGGCTAATTTGCCAGAGGGTGGTTGGCTGCTGGGTGACTCTGGTTATCCGTTGAAAGATTTTCTTATGACACCCTTCAATAACCATTCCACTCCAACGGAGGAAAGATATAATCGTGCTCACTGCCAGACCAGAAATGTTGTAGAAAGGGCATTTGGCGTGCTCAAATCCAGATTCAGGCATGTGATATGATTTCAAAACATCATAATTATTTTCTATTAAGTATGATTTGTAACAAAAAAAGTTGTACAGGTATCATAAGTTTACATGAGTGCTCATGGTCATCATCTACTGAACATTATGAACATTGAACAATACATGTATATACATGTAAAACATACTGATATCATAAATCAGCCTTCATAATTAGGACACTGAGGATTTGATTAATCAAATCATGCAAATTTTGCAGATGTCTTCACAAAAGTGGAGGATGTTTGCCTTTCAAACCAACCAAATGTGCAATTATCATCGAGACATGTTGCCGGCTCCACAACAAGGCAATTGAAGAGAGAATCCCCCTCCAACAAGGTGGTCGTGTTGTTTTACAACAACACATGTATGTTCATAGAGGAGCACCTCCGCGGTCAGCCAGAGACCTGAGACAACACATTGCATCAAGATTTTAAGTAAATTTAAGGTAATTTCACCCTCCTATGATGTCATAGGTATTTGCGAAAACTGTAATTAGTTTAAATTCATACCTATTAGAGGAAAATTCATTTGCCATAGACTTTTTTTCAATTTAAGTAACTTTCATTTCATACGCAATATTTAATTAAATATATTTTTATTTTGTAGATAGGAGGACAAGCTGAAATAATGAAGAACCTGTTGTATTTTGATTTCGTAATTTATTTTTTAATAAATTGTAGTAACAATAAATAATATATGAATTAGGGATGTCAAATCGGTCAATTTTTATTACTCGGTTACTCGGACGTTTTTCCGATCGAGTACCCGGGTACTCGGTAAAGTGTAAATGAATAGGAACAAGTTAATTGATAACTGTAAAACATGGTAAACTCTTGTAGAAATAAAACCGATGGGAGGTTACCTGCAAATGCGTTATAATAATTATGACCACTTTGTACGCGACGAAATTCTTTTTAAGTTCAATTTATTTATCAGATAAATACGAGAAATAAAATCATAAATTGTTCACAGTGTTTTTGTTTCAAAATAATCAGTTCTGTTCCGTAATTGTATATGTAAGTCTTTGATGCCTTTGACGTTCAAGTGATAAGTTGTCAGAGCTACATGTACGGTATAAACTTGATCAAGTAATCCTAAACAGAGAGGATTTATACGATCTTCGTACACTTTTTGATCCGAGATTTCATAGAATTACGATACAGTATGTTTTAGTTTGGAGCAACGATGGACATAACATTTTTAAAGCATTTGCTTTCAACCATTTGCATTAATTGGCATGTAATCAAACGCATATCAACAATCGCACGTGCAATATCGTCTGTCTCTTTCCCCGAGAATTTACGGCTTCTTGGAGAATTGACAAAATTATTTAATTTATTTAAATACAATGGACCTTAAACGATGTTCAATGAAAACAAATAATTAAAGCAAACTAAACATAAGGGTAGAAGACAGTCGAAGGTGAGAAAAGCCAGGTAGGCACATCAGGTGTTTGGTCACGGTAATTACTGTATAAACACTGCCACGGGCGATAACGGTCATTTAGGAAACCCTAATTACTGTATGTACAAGTGCAAAGAACATTTTACGTTTTAAAATCGATGTTTTAATGCATTAATAAATATATAAGCTCAGAAATATTTAAAAATATACATCCGAGTAACCGAGTACCGATTTTAGTATTCGATACTCGGACGTTCGATCGAGTACCCGGTTAACCGGGTACTCGTTGACATCCCTAATATGAATACTATATATAATCTTATAATTTTATATATTACTATCTGTTACCCTAGAAGAGAAATACAGTGTAACCATATATTAAATTTTTAAGCATTTTTTACAGAGAAGTATTTATCTATTCAGACAAAATATACAGAGTGTAATCAAATGAAGTTCATTTTAAGCTAAAATTCAATAACTGGAGGAACTGACAGTCCAGAGTCTAAATTCTGCCATCCCTCTAATATTGTTACAATTCTCTCCAGTGCCTGAGCCTTCCTTTCCTCAACATCCAACCTTCTCTTTTTCAATTCAACAAGTTCTTTCATCCCATTATCTGCAAAAAAGGGCATGTTGAAAAAAAGTTCAGTTGGTGGAAAAACGTTTCAATGAATCCATTAGATTGATGTCAGTACTAAAAAAGTTTACCGGTTGAAACTCAATAAATTGAGACTGCAATTTCCTTAGCTTACAATGTCATTTCCTTGGAGGTTATTAAAAGTTGACCATTTGAGTATCATTCTCTACACATGCATGTTTTAAATCTACCTTGAATTTTTCTTCAGAAACCATTTGTCATGAATTTAACTAGATAGAAATTTCACAAGGTTGAATTTTGATGTCTTGTTTTTATTAATGATGGAAATTCTTTTAACTGTTACCGTATCCTCCAGTCCTCTTTTTTCCTACTGGTTCCAGACTCTTTTTACTCTTGCACGTTTGTGATGGCAAAGCTGAAATGTAAATTTATGAAAACAGATGTAAAAGACATTTGGTAAATTTTTTATCTTAAAAGAAAACATCCAAGTAACACTAATGACAAAAGAATACATTGCTTAAAAGCATTTCCATCATTTAAATTTAAAGCTAAAATTTTTAGGACACCTGAGTAAAGTTTGGTGACCTATTGCTATCTGTTTTCGTCCCTCCTGGGGCCAGAGGGGTGGTGCTAAAACCACCAAAATTAATCATCAAGGTGAAAAATTTTGAAAATTAGGTCAAACATGAAGGTCAAGGATTAATGGGTCATGATTTGAACAACACTGAATCTACGTTACCTGAGGATGTTTCCATATAAATAAGATCCTTCATGCATTTGCTATTCTTAAAAAGACGAATTGAAAAAAAATTCCCTATATGTTTGTATGTAAAACTTTGACCGGCCACTATGGCACCAATCTAATTAAAATTAGATATTAGATATGCTCGCATACTCGCTACACTAACATCTAAAATATCCCGTACATCAGAGGTCAAATTTGGAACAACTCTAGACTTATTCGATTTGGTAACGTCAACAAATATTCGATGATTTTGGCAGCGACTAAATGTGATCAGAAAAGCTCACTTGAGCTTTCTGCTCAGGTGAGCTATGAATAATGAATGAAAAGTGTCAGATATCAAGTATAGATGCATACATACCAGTACATGGAATTGAGGGCTCTTCAGAAGTTACATGTATGTCAACCACACATTCTAAAATTTAAAAATCTTGATGATATTAGATAGCACATACAGTGTATGTAAATAAAATAAAAGAAAATGTCTTTCATATGTAAGAATAATTCCAATTAAATTTTAATTTTTTTCTTAAATGATGAATATTTTCTAAGTGCATACTAGTTGAAATAAATATATTTACACTCCACATTTAATTTGCTTAAAAAGTTTGAGGTAAGCTACAGCAATGAAGGAATAACAGACCATCATAATGATAGACGGAAAGGGGAATTTCATGAAGGATGCTCAAAAAATGTGAATTTTGATTATAAAATCAACTCAATGACTAAACCAGATTACCATAAACAAAATGTATTAATATATATTCCTTTGACCTGAAACATTGTTAGATGTTGCACTGCAATCTCCAGTTGCTCCTGGACAATTCAAATCACAATTCAAATCCAATTTCCCCTTTGTTTGACCTGTTCATCAGATATAAAAAAAGAGTATAAATCAGTACATGTATCATGCTTACAAAATTTTACAGCTAGATTTCCAATCATAAAGCAATTTTATCATACATATAAAGTTCTTTGTATATGCATTTAATTTATGAAAAGTAAATGTCTGAGATTCATGTAGGTGCAGAAGTGTATTTCCCTGCTTGAGAAAATTTGGACAGATTAAGCATAGAGCTACAGATCCAAGCATTGTAAAATCCTTCGATTATCGCTGAAGCTTAGTCGCTCACTTCGGATATTTTGCTTGCATATGTTTAAGACCGCTAAAAAGTATATAAAGTAGGGATGTGCGATTTTATCGGTATACCGGTATATCGCGATTTTTTGTTGCGTGATACGTATCGTGATACGGAGACCTAAATATCGGTATTTAAGAACATATTAGAAAGTCCAGAAATTATTCATTTATTTGTTTAATCTTTTCAAATTACAATTACAGAAAGTATAAAAATGTTGTAAAACGTGAAAAGAACGGCAGCTTACCGCCCAAACAGAGTTGATTTTATATACATAAATATTTCAAGAAAATAAAATTTTGTTTTTCAAGCAAATTGTTTAGAAAAATAATGACTTTTCATATAAAATCATTGTAAAATCTGCTTTTAAAAATATCATGATATTATCGTGATATTGTGGGGAAAAATCGTGATATATCGCGATAAGAAATTTTTGGCGATACCCATCCCTAATATAAAGTATCAAGGGTAATAGTTAAATATATGATTAATTATAGGATACCAATCTAATAGTCAGAGAAAGATTAAACTACACGAAATAAAAGCCTACAGTAGCGACAAATAATCATCAGCGTATAAAATGGAAGGTTTTTATAACGCTTGCCTTGGATCTGTAGCTCTCTACTTTATGTGTCCAAATTTTCTCAAGCAGATTGAGAGCTACAGTTCTGCAGCTAAGATTCAGTCATTAGGCCACACCAATAAAAAAAAATGTTTATCGGACCCGCATGCTTGTATTAAACAAAATTATACAAATAATATTCATTTAAAATCCCCGCACCATGGGAATTCTGTGCTGTTTTTTGTATATTTCCGCTCTATTTATCGTACTTTTAATCTACTTACTCTGCAAATCAGAAAAAATACAATTGTCCGCTCAAATTTTTTCATGCCCCACCTAAAAATCTTGCCTACAAAAAAGTAATAAGATTATTATTTAACCGCTAGCCCGCTCGTACTTTCTTTATCAAATGAAACAAACAAAAAATTAAATTGGTGTGGCCTTACCTTTAAAATCTTAAAATATCAAATCCTACAGTGATTTCCATTTGTACATGTGTGTATACTAAAGTACTTTATGTGGGATTACCTTGATCTGCATCTGATTTAGTATCCACTGCCCCTTCTAATCCATGTATCATCTCTGTTGGAATAGTACCAAGAAGCTAAAGATTCAAAGTACATATAAATATGTAAGCTTTAATTTGTTTGCATACAAAACATATAAATAATCATGATAATAATGAAGTGACTACAATATTACTTTTTTGATATAATAAAAAAAAACATCACTAGAAAAAAGAATTCAAATATACTTTCTCAGAACCTCTCAATCGCTTTATCACCTTGTGTATGTATGATTAAATATAATTTTTATTTACTCACTTTACTTTAACTTTAAAATGTTTAAGTAACTTTTAACCCACTACCAAATACTCACAGACACCTCCCATGGCTTAAAAATTATTTCTGTACAGGGTCCACCACCTGTTTTTGATGCTTCTCTCTTCCGGAAAGCCTCCTTCTTTTTCACACTGGACAAACTATCCTGTATTTTCTTTTTTGTTTCATCTAGTGATCTGTTGCATGATACTGCTACAGCATTCACTCTGTTTTTTATTATAAAAATATATGTAAAAACATTTTACTATTGCTCATCATTATTATGATAATATAATAAACACTGCTAAATGGGTACAAAAGATATCATACATGTACACATGGAATTATCTTCATGAGTTCATCTTCGATTCACTACCGTCTATCGAGTATCGTCATTATTTTTTTCTACTTTCGCTTTGTATTTGAAACGAATATGCGGATCTATATCTAATAGGCCAAATTGTGGCGGAAAATCACAGTACATTAACTCGTATTGAGAAAAAATATAATACTATAAAATGTTAAAGATATCTTTATATAAATTAATAAATATCTTATTCGCTTACATCCATAACATGTATCGATATTAACATGATTAATATTGATAAGATTTAGAACACCGATTCGCGTATAAGTTACATTCTCCGGAGACGACTTGCTCAGTTAATGAATACATTTTTACGTGGTTATAAGTATTAGGTCTAATGCACACATAATAGACATTGGCGTCTAAACCTACGAAGCAATGTTCTATACAAGTATACATTTGGAAAAAAGTGGGGGGCTAAGTCAATGCTAAGTATATATTTGGAAAAAAAGTGGGGGGGGGGGGGCTGGCCCCCCTAGCCCCCCCCCCCCGGTTCCGACGCCTATGATAGATATAGACATATCTAATTCTTAAATCACAAAAGTGTCCTTTGAATATTTTTCAAGCAATTTAAGAACTTCATCATGACGTTTAGGCCTATAGATTTATTTCTTTATGGTTGCAAATTTAACGTACGGAATCAGATAAATGTAAAAAATAAATATTGGATTGGAGTCCCGGACCTGAATGAATAAATAAAAATAAAAACTAACCTTTCTGTTATCTCTTCCCAAGCCCTTTTCTTTGTATCCGATGTTATAGAAGGCGAGAATTTGCCCCGAATAACCTTAAAATTTCTACAGTAAGCCTCTATTAGCACCTCCAGCTCAATCTCACTCCAGTTAGGTTTTCGTATTTTAATTTTATCCATTAGGCCTAACGTTACTTTGTTTTGGTTGTTTCTTTTTATACAAATATCACCAAAATGATTTGCAGACGACTCGCAATATATTGAAAGTAGCTAATACGCATGCGCAGCTTTCGTTACTAGGATAGTTTATTTGCCTTTCCTTCTGAAGAGTTCCTGTCGTAAGTTACGAGAATCTTTACGTGTAGGGCTACGTTACGGGCGCAGATACGACCTTTAGTAATACGCTATCTACGCACACGTAAATTCAGTCGTAAAGTCTACGTTTACGTCTACGTCTACGGCAAAATTTACGACCTTTAGTAAAACTCATTGCTGGCGTTTAACAATATACAATCAATCAATAAATACTCAAGGAACAACACACTTATGTTCAAATGTTAAAAGTCTATTTTTTTTCCAAAACCTTATGCCAAATTAACTAGAGGTACTGTGAGCAATTAGCTCACTAAATGATACCCCGTCTCCCATATGAATATAATGGCAGTGTCCATGTTTTGCTGTGGACAACCCAAAATATGGTATAAAAAGTCTCTAATATTCAAGACATGTAGCTCTTTATTTCGTGACCGCGTATAGATTTGCTGTCTTTTAGGGTAGAACGGTCATTCTATTAGCAAAAAAATTCTCAAACTTTATCATCTGGAATCACATTGTATGCATATTTTGGTGAGAAGAGTTGTATAATTATGCAATTTAAGAGGCCTGCAGATGCCTCGTGATTCCTATCACTTACAAGCTTTTGTACCAATAGGCCTAAGCCATTCTTGACTTCGATCTAGTCAAAGAAGGATATGGAGATAATGAACAGTATTCAATCTCAAAGTCCATTAAACAATATACAAAATCAGGGCAGAGCAAACACGAACCTCCGAAACATCGGAGGGGGATCAGGTGCCATGGAGGAGTGAGCATCCCCTGCCGACCGGTCACACCCGCCGTGAGCTCGTTGTCATGATCAGGAAATAACGGAAAAAATCCGTCGTCAATTCATGTATAAATAATGGACTAACAATTGGTATGAAAAACGTCAATCAGCATTTGACTCAATGATAAATTGTATTTGCTGACAAGGTCATTGTATCGACCATAGAACTTACGAAATGATGACTTTAAACGAGACTGCTGATATTCTTGTTTCATCAACTTGCTTGTCAATAATTTACCTCGTTTAAGAAATTGTTAATACGTAGAGCATGCTCTTGCGTATCGAATCAACTGAGATATATATACTCCGTATGCAGGTGATGAAGGTATATTGCTGCATAAGTGAGGGAAGTTGACGATAGAAAAGTTAAAGTCATCACGTTTATCATATAGCTTGGTTGTTAGATTACCATTAGTGTCTTTTTCAAGTAAAATATCCAAATATGAAGCAGAAGTGTCGGACTCTGTGGTATCTTTTATCTCATGTTCACCAGGATATATCGTATCGACGTAGGAATGGAAATTATCATTATTAATTGACAATACGTCGTCGATATATCTAAATGTTGAGTTGAAGGCCACAGCAAGTGTTTTCTTCTTTTCACGCATAAGATTTTGCATCAATTCTGCTTCATATGAATATAAAAATAAGTCTGCTAATAACTGAGCGCAATTTGTACCCATGGGAATTCCAATAGATTGTTGGAATACAAAACTTCTCTTGACAACAAAATTTTATTGAACAATCCAAAAACTTTATAAGGCAACGTGATCCACCCTTCTTTGTTAGGGTAGTGTAAGGTTGTATCAAGAATCGAGGGGGACTGAACACAAACATTTTCTTCTTTCAGATTTTGTAAATTTCATTTTTTTTTTAAATTTATATACACTGTTCAATACAAAATTATCCGTTCACAACATAAAATATTTGAGAATGCAGTTGAATTTTTGACCGAGAATAACAAAACGCAAATGTAGGGACACAGAATCAGAGCTGGACAATCAAGAAAATTTATGGTTTATGTATATTATACTGATAATTCTTCATAAATATGTTTATATTTGGATATTATACTATATTTAGATTTATATGTTGTAACAATTACTAGCCCTCTAATTGGTCGTGGTCGATCATTTTAAAAATCATACTAAGTTATGCTGCACTAGACCTTCCACATGAACATAGACATTATTTTTTTTTCTACACTGGGCTATAAAAATAGATTAAGAAATTCCACCAACTGATATTATTTAGCAACCCTCGAACTACAATATTCACTCGCCTTAATGCTCGGGAAAACTGCTCTTGGGGTAGCTTAATTTTCATATTGTCCTCCAAACAGAAATAAGTGTATGATATTATTTAACTTTTTATATGAAGAAGCATGGAGAGACAGGTAATAGGTAAAATGTCCTCGGAACTGTCGTCAAAAATGTATGCTAATAATAGAAGTAATTAAACAAAAATCCGTGTTATAAAAATCCTAGGCTAAGTCATTAACGAAAATATTCTCCAACTCTCATTGCATATTTGAAAATTATTTCATGAATAAAAAAGAAACAAACTGTAATTTATTTTCTGCAAAACGAATCAGGATTAAGCAGTTTGGGTATTTTACGAAATTCGAGTGTATAAGAAGTCATTTGAATTGCCATTTTGAGCTAATTAACATATTTCAAATTTAAACGACTAAATTTTCCGAATTAAAGTTATTATATAAGTGTTCTGTTGTCATTATACATGGTTGTACTACGCTCAGTAAGATATTCACAAATCCTTTTCCTATGTAAACAACATTAAGAAATAATTTGAAAAAGAAATGAATATCCGCCATTTTGAATCGCCATTTTGACTTTTAACTAACAGCTGCACCATCACTCAGTTGTAGAATAGTGAGATGTAGAGGATAAAATACAAATCTGCAGTGTATGGATATTTGCAAATGTAAAATCCTTGACAAAGAAGAATATAGAAACAATAGACAAATAAATCAGAGAAAATTCGAATTAAGTGTAGAAACGACTAAATTTTCTGAATTAAACTAATAATGTTATAATTCTATTATATTTTTATAGATTTATTACACTCATTGAGATATTCACTCATTATTTCTCCTTTTTGAACGATATTAAGAGAAAATAGAAAAATTTGATGTCCGCCATTTTGAATCGCCATTTTGACCTCTTTAACTCCATTTTCATGAAGGCCAGCATATTTTTTCGGATTCAGCATACTCGAATTAGGTTAAAAAACTATGCTGGACAAATAATAATTATTTGCCGTTAGAAGTTATTTCTAGCCTTCTTTTTTAAAATCAGGACCAGACTAACACAAGATCTCCCTCTTCATAACCTTGAAAATTTATCTCTTTGTTGTATTCCCTAAACATTTTTCCTTGTAAGCATATTCTGACATTTCTTATGTACTTTCAGTTTGTAGCCTTCCCAATACTAAATCAGCTGGGAGAGAAACATGCCTACCAAACATCATCTCACATGGACCTACACCAGTTGACTCGTGCTGGGCTGACCTATAAGCTAACATGAATAAGGGTAAATGTTCGTCTCAGTATACTTTATTTATTCCTCAGGGTTCGACACTAACGGTAGCCTGCTAGCCTGGGACTACTATAACTTGAAGTCGGGCTACTGAACAAGTCATAAAGCTTGTCCTACAGGGCTACTAATATTTTTATTCCATGATAACAGATATCAAACTAAACAATGACAAACGAATTTTTTTAATCGCAAGCGAGATTTTGAATCGTCGGTGTGGTATAACTCGCACTTTTTACCTTAATATTGCTCGACGTTGTTTTAGTCCGACTTATCAAAAATCTTTATCGTCTAAGAGTTTGAACAGACGACGTAAAAACCGAGAATGCAGGCAGTGTACTGAGTAAGACAAATGACCTTGGAAAGTTGGAAGTACCTGGCAGGTGTCGCTCCAACAACGAAGAAACCAAAAACAATGTAGGAAAAAAAAGAAAAACAACAGTTATACGAGAAATCAAAAAGAGAGAGAAAGTTCCAGTCTACATGGGTAGATACTTTTAAGTGGTTACGATATGATAAAGAAAAGAACTTAATGTACGAGGGTTGTTCGAAAAGTTCGTGGACAACAGACATATCTTTTTTACTTGACGTCATATGTTATCCCAAATTTGGTTGAAATATTTTTACAATAAATCCAAATGATTTGTTTTAAATTTTTCCAAAATATTACAATTTATTCAAAGCTTATCCAAATTTTTAAAATGCAAAAATCGGATCGCGGAGCAGGTCGAAATTTAGTAAGTTACTGACAATACACTATATGATGTCTGTAGTCATATTCCCTGTAAAATGGAACAAAAAGGAAAATAATCTAGAAATTCAAATTAAGAATTCTTACATCGATTCGTATACCAAATTATGGCTTTATATTTTGCTATGTTGAAAAGAAATCAACTTGAGAAGATAGGTAGTCCTTATTGAGATCGACAAAAACGATGACGTTTTAGAACGTCATGGAGCAGCATATAACGATGCAAATTTGTGTTTTACTCAGGAAAAAATCTAAAAATGTTTGAGGAATCAAGAAAATATGTCACAAGCGAGTTGTGCATGTATGTACAAACAGTGCAGGTAGTATTTGAGTGACAGAGACTCTGTATCGGATGAGGACAATCTGTGAAGCTACGGTTTAACTGTAAAAATCTTAACAAAAACTTTAAAAAGTTGGAACGTCAAGGAAAGACATAGGCGCTTCAGAGTTGCGTATCCTGTGAAAGCAGAGTTAAGTAATAAAAGAATTAAAACCTTAACAAAGGAAATTATACAACGAGAGCAATTCTTAAAAAATAAATGTCAAGTATAAGAAAAAGGATTTAATGAGTGGGCATTGGATCATACTGTGTGAAAGGTATAGGAACAGTATTTTTTATTAAGTCTTGACGCTATGTTTTGACGCTACATTGCCGTAAAGTGTGCTCCGCGGGTACAAAACATCTTGATTTTAAAATGAAGTAAATTGATTTCTGTTAAATCGAATTGAATGAAACTTCACAAATCAACAAAACAAATATTTTTACATATTATATTGTGCTTATTTAAAATTTCTAGCGAGTAATATAACGAAGATTGACATCGTCCACGAACTTTTCGAACAACCCTCGTATTGTGATGTATGCCGACGACGTGACAATGACAAAAACGGATCATTCGTTCGAGGCTCTGCAAACTTTAGATTAGAGCCTATCACATCTTCGCAA